CAGCAGGTGATCCTTCCGCCTCAGCCTTCCGAGTAGCCAGAATTACAGGCGTGCTACCACGCCCGGCTAATTTTTTGATTTTATTGTAGAGATGAGGTCTCGCCTGCCTAGGTGGGTCTCGAACCCGCAGGCTCAGGCAATCCACTCACCTCCGTGTCCCAAAGGCACGGGATTACAGGCTGAACAACAGAGCCGGCTTGTATTATCTTCTTAAACTTTCTCTTATCGTGACCCTATTTCCATGTCAGTAATGACAGCACAGTATGGATAATTAGCAAATCCCCTATTGGTGAACATTTAGGCATTACTCATTTTTTGCAACTATAAACAACCCTTCAATGAACATCCTTGTACATATACTACTTATGTTCTTAAAATTAAAATATCTTCTAAATCAGCCTTTCCAATAATTTAGACCCACCTGGCTACTCTCGAGTAATTTGAAATAACGTGATGTTGCTGTTATAATTTTAACGAACACAAATAACTTACTGACTTAACATTCCGCACAAAAGTTCTCACCTTGCAATCACAGACTCAGCTGGCATGATGCCAGGCACGTAGTGCGCCATGGGAGAAACGAAGTGTCCGTCCAGGATCTTACAGTCTGACTGCTCTTCAATCTGAAAGAAAATCGAAACCAAGATGCCTACAAGAAAACTAAGGTCTATCGCGGATGTTTTCCTAATAAAAAGTCCTATTCAGTTAAAATCGCTTTTCCAGCACCTACCACGTAGCCTTGTTTGCTCCACTGTCTTCTAAAGACATGGTTCCTAGCCACACACATTTCTTTTCCTTTTATATCCTTTATTACAATCAAGTTGGAAAAATAAACTGTAAACAAATCTTATTCATATATTGACAAGTAACTTAAAACACTGGTTGCTGGGCTCGGTGGCTCAGCCTGTAATCCCGCGCCTCTGGGAGGCTGAGGCGAGTGGATTGTTTGAGCCCGTGGGTTCGAGACCTGCCTGGGCAACTTGGCGAGACCTCATCTCCACAATAAATAAAAAATTAGCCGGGCGTGGTAGCGCACGCCTGTCGTTCCGGCTACTTGGAAGGCTGAGGCGGAAGGATCGCTGGAGCCCAGCGGGTTGAGGCTGCGGTGACCAGGAGTGGCCACAGTACTCCAGTCTGGGCGACAGAGTGAGACTCCAACCCAAAAAACAAAAAAACAAAACACTGGTTAAGAGAATTCAACAATATAAAAATACTTATAAGAAAAATTTACAGGCCAGCTAATGGTGGCTCACGCCTATAATCCCAGTACTTTGGGAGGTCGAGGTGAGAGGATTGCCTGAGCCCATGGGTTCAAGACCAGCCTGGGCAACTTAGTGAGCCCTCATCTCTACAATAAATTAAAAAATTAGCCGGGCATGGTGGCGCGCATACCTGTAGTCCCAGCTACTTGGTAGGCTAAGGTGGAAGGATCACCTGAGCCCAGCAGGTTGAGGCTACCCATTGCACTCTAGCCTGGGCGACAGAGTGAGACATTGACTCAAGAAAAAAAAAAACAAACAGAGATAGGGTCTCCCTATGTCACCCAGGGTGGTCTCCTGGCCTCATGCAATCCTCTTGCCTTGGCCTCCCAATGTGCTGCGATTACAGGAGTGAGCCACTGTGTCCAACCTTATTTGCCTATTTTTATGTGCACGAGTATCATGCTTGCTTATAACTGCAGTTTCAAAATACTCATTGAGGCATGACTGAACTGGTCTTTCCTTATTACTTATTACTCTTCCTCTTCAGAATATTCCTGATCTGACTGCACTCTCATGTATTTTCCAAATTTCATGATGCTTTTATGGATCTAAATTCTATATCAAATACTTTAACTGGAATTGCACTGCATTTTTAAAAGTGCTCTGGGAGACCTAACATCTGTATAATATCAATTTTTCATCCAAAAGTCCATTTAGTCTTAATTTATGCTTATTAGTATACAAAGTCTTAAAGTTTTCTTCTTATATATTTTAGGAGAATGTTATTTGATAAAGAAGTAGCACAAACTAGTATCTTATTAATTATTTAATAAAGAAGAAAGAAAAAATGAATGTGAAAGGGAATAATAATTCAACAAATAGTGTTCAGATAGCAATTGGGTAAGAAAAAAGCACTTTTGGAACTACACATCATAATATATATAATAGATTTTATTTTATTTTATTTATTTATTTATTTTTGAGTTGGAGTCTCACTCTGTCACCCAGACTAGAGTGCAGTGGCTGCTCCTGGCCATCCCGGCCTATATAATAGATTTTAAAATTAAACAA